TAGCAAATCCTACACAAATTAGAATCCCCAAAATTTAATAATTATGCAATTAATTGTAATAAGATTAATTATTTATTAGGTTAGGTGTCGGGATTGCTTGAAATTAGCACAATCTAACCTACTGAGATTTTCAAGAAAATATTAAATCTAATTGATTTTAAATTTGATAACAATATTACTGAACGAAAGAAGAGTAGAAAGCAAGGAGTGAGTTCACCCTTTGGCCTCAGTTGTGGTATGTATTCAATCAATGATGAGGACGGGTAGCCACAGAGTTGAAGAACGAAGGGGACGGTGACTGCCACGACTTCGGGAAGGAGGTGAAAAGCTTGATCAATGAGGTCTAGCAGCAGCATATAGGGAAGGCAAGTTTTGCCCTAAGCTTCTGCCTCTTTAAATCGGGAAGCAGAAGGAGAACAAGGAGAAGGCGTCGGCTCTCACTAGATCTTACCGAGCAAGGCAAGGGGATGATAAGGCTGTGACTAGGGTTTGAGAGGAAAGTGCTTTTGATGGTTGTGAAGGGGATGGCTACTGGTCTATGGTTTCGACCCTTTTTATAGTGAGCAGAGAGGCAGGGAACCAACGAACGGAAAAAAAAAAAAAAAACAAGAGAGTCGTGTTCAAACCGGAAAGGCAGCAGTGATAGTGGGAGAGAATAAAGTGAAGGTTTCACGAAATTGCCGAAATCTAGAGGCAAAAACGAAGATAATAAGGAAGTTTGTGCGAGTCACAAGGAGAAAAAAAAAGGAAATTTGAATCTTACATAAAATAGCTGTTAGGACACAACTGAACCTCATTAGCCTAAATGATTTCTGCTCCCATTATTTAGCAAGGAAATTATGCTTTCTATAAAATCTGCAAAATAGAACCCCCTCTAGCCATTGCCACTAATCGAAGTTGCAAATCTCAAACAAATTTTTATTGCACAAATCTCAAACCGTAAAATTTTTCACAAACAAAGCCAAAACTCCATCACTTGCCAAATCTGTCTGAAACCTGGTCATTCTGCAGCCAACTGTTGGCACAGATCAAACTTACAATACAAGCCAACATTCTCTTTTATCCCTCACTGCAATGCCTTAATCATCACTGCTCCATAGCTAGCACATGAATAAGTTTTAGATTTAGGAGTTTCTTCTTACCTCTTCCGGCGCCAGGAGAATCTTCAACACCCCACTCCTTCCCCTGATGCAGAACAAGTGATTGTAGGGAATGGTCAATCTGCGCTAATCTCCCATATTGGCAATGACATCCTCCTCACCCCCAATCATATGCTTATCCTCTCCTCTCCTTCATGCATCTACTCTATCTCACAATCTCATCTCTATTCACCAATTAGCCAAAGACAACATGTATTTTCTCTTGTGATTCGTTTGGTTTTTGTTTTTGTTTCCAGGAATAAGCAAGCAAGAAAATCCTTCTCCAAGGTCTAGCTGATAAAGGTTTATATTATGTTTCTTCCAAACCACTGATCACTATGCTGGGCTCCTTCACTTACTGTTTGGTTTGCCGTCAACATCTCGGTCACTTGCATTCCTAAGTTGCAGCTATGGTCTCCAATTAAAGCTAATTCCACCAATTTTCTCTTTCTACAATGTCGATCGCATAAACAAGAGTCATAAACTACCCTTATATCAAGTACCAACACTTATAGACCTTTTTGCCTTCCCTCTTTCTATGGTTTCAAATATTATGTATTGTTTATAAACTCTTAGGGGTTGTTTTGCGGCGCCTTATTAATATGATTTATTGGTTGGATTTACCAAATCCAGCCAAACATAAAGCATAATTTTCATGAATTTATGAAATTTCAGATTTAACGTCCAAAATTTGCCTTTCGATTCATGTTAAATCCGGATTTACTAAATCCTATTGATGTTAAATTTTTCCTGCAGCCAAACACCCCTTATTTTGGTTATTGCTAGACAAATCTAATATGCCAAATCAGAAACTACTCAACACTTCATTAACTTTCACAAAATGATACTTAATCAATTCAATATGCTCATAACATACCTAAGATTAGATGGAGGAGGTGCATGCCCCTATCATCCTTTGACGGTTATCTTTCTTCTTTCTTCTTGTGGTATTTGCATCAGTTCAACTGTCCACATACACTAGAACAAAACGGATTGGCTGAACGCAAGCATAGGCATCTCATTGATATATCTATGTCATGATTTTTTTTTCGACAAGTTTTACGCTTGCTGTTGGCTACCTAACGCAACCCTCCAATTTTCACATTCAGGCTTGAGACCGACAATGGTAGTGTTAAATACTTGTCTTTATCTATAATACTTCTAAATACTTCTAAATACTGCCCAACTCCCTTCTCTTTTATAGGTAGAATACTTACTAACAACCACCTATTTAATAAATTGTCTACCATCCACTACAAACTACTTAAAATCTACCTATCAACTGTTGTACAAAAAAAAAAATCCACATATGCTCATTTATGAACATTTGGGTGCTAGTGCTTTTCATGGCACAACCTACAACAGTTCTCTTCCAATTTGTCTCACTGCATCTTCGTTTATTGGCTATAGCTCCAACCACAAATGTTATCGCTACTATGACTTCTGCTCTATAAAACTCACTATTTCTAGACATGTACTTTTGATGAAACTACCTTCCTTTATTAACAATTGTTGCAGCCTCAATCCAACTCACAACCCCATCCTACTACACCACCCACTTTACTGCTCCCCACACCCACGCTACAACCCTGCCTTCCCACCATGCTAACTGCAACGACTCTCAAACCTTCCACCTTTACATGTACAAACCCAACCATTTCACTCCTACACACGATCTCACCACATGGCAGCCTGTTCGAAGACAAGTTCACTCGAAGCCAAAATAATTCTCTACCTTCATTATCATCTCTCTCCAACTCCCATATCATCAGATACCACCAACTTCACCTAAACTATTAAACTCTTCCAGTGGACAGAAGCTATGTATTTTGGATTCCTCGCTCTCCAGCAATAGGGACCTAGAAACTAGTACCTCCTCCACCCAATCATAATGTTTTAGGCTGTTGATGGATGTTTAAGACAAAGCACAATGCTGATGGCATCATTGCCTGCCACAAGGCTAGACTTGTAGCTCGGGCTCAAACAACTACATGACCAAGACTACGACAAAACCTGTTTTGTTGCCGAATTCCCTACAATTCGCATTCTCCTCACCATAAGTAGCCTTCACAAATGGCCACTCCACTGACTCGATATCTCCAACGTCTTCCTCCACAACAATTTAGATGATCTTGTTTATATGTCAAAACCACCAGGCTTCACTGACCCCAATACCCCCACCATGTGTGCCAATTACCATAAGCTTTCTATGGCTAAGAAAAGCCCGCAATTAGTGGTAATCCACCTTCAGCACTTACCTTCTTAACTATGGTTTCATTCTCAACACTGCAGATCAGTCCCTTCTTCCCAATCACTAGGATAACATTACTGTCTACCTATTGGTCTATGTAGATGATATTCTTATCACCAGCAACTCCTCCATCACTATCACCAACCTCATCCACACCTGAGCATCCAGTTCTTAGTTTTTCAAGTGCCCCATGGTTATTTTCTACATTAAACATCCTATCTCACAAATGTTCTACAATCATTTGTCATGCTTCAATCCAAGCCGGTTCCAACTCCATTTCTATCTAAACCACTTCCCTTTAGCCATCGCTTCCACACCACTATCAGATCCATACTAAAACCGACATCTCATTGGCGCCCTTCAATATCTAAATGTAACCCCCGCCCATATATCAGCGAACGCACGCACCAATCTTTCACTCACTACTATCAACTTCCTCAAGTGACTCTTTCGTTATCTCGAAAACACACTCAATCAAAGTTTTCCCATCATAAGAAGTGATCATTCTATCAAATTCTATATAATGCTGACTGGGTCAACATTCCTCTTGACCAAAAATCTACATCATGCTACTGCACCTACCTGGGCTCAACTCTCACCTTCTAGTCTGTCAAGAAGCAACCAACCGTGGCTAGGTCATCCACAGAAACAAAAGTTAGAGTTTTAGCCTCTGCCACTACAAACATTCTTTGGTTAAACTAAAGAAACCTGCTGTAGGAATTCAAAGCTTCTACTACAACTCCAACACCCATCCATTTGGATAGCATTTACTATTGCTCGGCCAGCAATCTAGTACTTCAAGCCAGAACTAAGCACATTGAAGTAGATTACCATTTCATTCGTGATCATACTCACTAGGTCACTTTCCACCACACAATGTCAGCTCGTACTTCCAAGTTGACGATCTACTCTTGGATCTTTGATCATCTTCCATGCAGCAATCTCACTAGCAGCAGCACATGGGATCTGCAGTCCCCTTTCACGACCTACTTAATCTCCATAGATACAGAAATCCTCACCTCACCTTAACCACATGATGTATACTTATTCACCACTATACCCTTCTTACTGTCTATATAAACTGTACACTGTATAAACACTAGCAATAGGAATCTCATATTAAGTTTTTACGCTGAAATATACTCTGTAACTCGGCAACCATCACTGGCAGCAGCACATAGGACCTGTGGTCCCCTTCACAACCTACTCAAACACCGTTGATACAAATAACCTCACCTAACCTTAACCACGTGATGTTTTGTACTGATTCTCCATTTTACCCGTATTACTGTCAATATAAACTGTACGAACTCTAGCAATAGGATTCTCATTCTAAACTGTTATACTGAAATCTTCCCCTGTAATTTCCTGCTTCTGCTCCATTATCCCACCTGCTTCACTGCATCTTCAATGGTTAACCTCAGTGAAAATTGCTTCAGCAGTGCTTATGGTTATAGCGAACAATTCATTATTGATAGTTGTTTTTTTTAAATGGCAGCATCTCACCTTGTTTCTACTGTGTAATTTTTTTTGTATTTATCTTGTTATATGTGCACCTCAATTATATCTTTTTTGGCATTGTATTAACAAATTTGCTTGCTGTACAACAGGGGTCTATTTGTGACCAGTCAAATGGATTCAAGTTGAAAAATCTGCCCAATAAATCATCAAATAAATTATATAATGGTTCTTGTAGCAGAAATAATATTGGAGATTCTGGTTTAAATTCTGAAATAGCGGCTATTAGAATTCAAACTGCATTTCGATGCTACCAGGTTTGTAATTCCTTTCTGACATACCTTCTTTTCTATAACTATTTAGATCAGTAAATTTTTATTGAAAATGGATAGGAATATTTCTAAATTTATGCAATTTTTGTACCATATTTTAGATCATAATTGTTTTCCATTGTTGCTAAATATTAACTATTGAGCTGGAGTGTTTGGTAGTTATCACTAAGCTGTATGTATTTTGCTATGATGGCCAACATTGATGTCAACTAGTGAAACTATGAGTTAAAAGATGTTACCACCTAAGCTTAAACAAAATGTTACTTAAGTTAATCTATTATTCCATGCTAGTTAGATATGAAATACTGTTCTAAGTATCAAGTTTTTGAAATAATAAAGTGTTCGGTAGTTATGACTATGCTGTATGTGTTTTGCTATTATGGCCAACATTGTTGTCAACTAGTGAAACTATGAGTTAAAAGATGTTACCACCTAAGTTTAAACAAAATGTTACTTAAGTTATCTAATATTCCGTGCTAGTTAGATATGAAATACTGTTCTAAGTATTAAGTTTTTTAAATAACAAAGTGGGTGTGGGTTGCATGTGATGGTAAGAAAAAGCTAGGTTCTCATGGATACTGTGGCCTGTAGGTTCATCTATTCTTAATTTGCACATTTCTTTTGATACCTCTCAAGCTCTCCTGCCTTTACCATTTCTTCTATATCGTCCGCATTTTTTCATGTTCCATCTGATTGATGCTGGATAATATGATCATCGATTACACTATCCAATTTGCTTTGTTTTTCAGGCTAGAAAAATTGCACGCCAACTGAAAGGAACCCAAAGATTACGTTCTCTCTCTGATGGTGATTTTATTAAAAGGCAGACATCTATCACTTTACGGTGTGCCCAATCCTGGAGCAAAATACAGGCAGAAATAAGAGCTCGGCGAGTTTCTATGGCAAAAGAAGGCCGAATTAAGCAGAAGAGACATGAAAACCAAGTGAAACTTGAGGCCAAGCTTCATGATTTAGAAGTATGTTCTGTCTTTGCTTTCTTTTCCTCTGGGGAGTTTTTTTCTCCAGTTGTTTTTTTTAAATATTATTTTAAAGAATATCCTGTTAAATTTGAAGCTTCTATACTCTGATCTACTATAAAAAGTTCAATTTAAATCTTCTTCTTAGTGTATTTATTTTTTGCCTTGGTGCATCTTATTTTGATCTTATAAATCAAACTGCATATCCTGCATTTTCATTTAATGAAATGAAATCTGATAGAGATAACCACAACCTCTCAACTAATTACGTTTGATTATGTATTTTATCACGTTGTTATCAAAGGTCAATTTTGTATTCTAGCGAAGGCATTAGTTGGTGCAAACCAGTATTGCTGTTGTGATTTTGGGTAGAGATGGATGTATGCAATATTATCATTATCTCTTGTTTAGATGAAGGCATTTTTTATTTTTTTTTATTGAGATGCATGTGAGATTAAGAAAAGTCCTGCATCGAAAGAGAAATAAGTTCTTAATATAATAGTTATAGCACATATTGTCATGACCTGTCTCGGAACTTATAATTAACTAAGGTGGGAACGAACAATCGAATGATGAAAATTAATTTTTTTTTACTGTCATTTATCACTAAGAATTTACAATCCAAATATATTGAAACATTCACTAAGGAAAATAATTTAATTGATCAAATAAAAGTTAACATTTCGGATTGATGACTTCGCCTTTTGTACACATTATCTTTTCTAGTATTCATCTTATTAAAAGCTTAAAAATGAAAAAGTATTAAAACAACATAATGAGTTCTCTAAAATGACTCAGTGAAGTAATCACACTTCTAAACAACAGCCGCCCAAGGAAAAAGAAAACAATTTGTATTATAGTCTTTCATATTTCATTATAAAAAATTATATAATAATATAATTTATGTATTCATGATATATGTTTGTTGAGACTTTTTTGTAATAAGAGGGTTTTATCTGGTTTATTTATAAAACGTTTTATCCTCTATTTAAACATATATGCTGAATAAAATATTGAATTTGAGCTTATTTAGTTTCAATTTGGTACCAGAGCCAACCCTGACAGCCTGCATCGATTGCATCCCGTCGTTCCCTGTCCGATTAATCGTTGCTCTGGTTCTTCAGGACCCGCTGCTCGTTGGTACCTTCGATTGGCCCGCTTGCTTCTATCTGTGACGTCTAGTGTCGGAGACGCACCTGCGTCTCGTGCGGGAGCCACGTCCCGCGTCCAACGTGTGGGAGACGGAGTCTTGTCCAGTTTCAGGCCGCCGCCCTCCCGGTTGCAGCCGCCGCCCCCCTCTTGTCTGCAGTCGCCGCCCTCCAGTCTGCCATCATCATCTGTCCAGGCCGCCACCGTTTGTCCAGGCCCCTGCCGTAGCTACAACCTCATTTCCAGGTTTGTGCCGCTACACCTGCTGCAGTTGGCTTGCCACACGAAGAAGATCCCGATCTTGATGATGAGATAGATAAAAATTGGGTGCAAAGGCGGAAGGGAATTGTTCGTGGTTTGTATGACCCAGAAGAGAGTCCAGGTGATCGAAGATGACTGGAGATGGAGATAGTATGGGGAGTAATGGATTGTATCTTCTGGGAAGGATTGATCTTGATGTTTTGAAGGACCTTATAAGGCTCATACAGGGAGCTAGTGCCTTGACAGGTTCAACACAGGCTTCGACGGACTCCCTCCCTCATGTGGATCTGAAGCTCGATGAACCGACCACTTATTTTAGCTGGTCACTTCGGATTGAGACAGCTTTAGTAGGGAAGAGACTAGACTGATATCTGACTGAGGACGAACCAAAAAGTGACAGTGTTGAGAGGGATAAGTGGAGGACCGTTCACGCCTTAGTCTACACATGGCTGCTCAACTTAATGGTTCCTTCAATCGCGTCCATAGTCGATGGCATTCGATGAGTGGAATCTGGGAAAGTTGAAGAAGATTTATGTTGGTGCTGAGAATCACATGAGGGTATTCTAGATTCAACGCGAGATAGAATCTGTGGTACGAAGTGAGAAAACCTAATCCATAGAGTTGGAGAGGTAGTGGGTGTATCTTGATTATTTCTCACCGATGTCGAGTTGCGACCCAGAATGCTTACACATATGAGGACTATTGAGTTCCCGGCTCATCTGAATTCAGCCTTTGATCAGGGAAGATATTTCCTCCTAGCTCAGGCGATTATTCCTAAACTAAATGAGGCCATTGTTGCGATGACACACGAGAGTCGTATGAAGCTACACTCCGAGTTAAATGGCTTTTCAAGTGCCTGATCAGCATTGGCTGTTGTGAGCTCAGTTATGTTAGGTGTTCAGGGGAAGAATCGCAAGTGCTACAACTGTGTTGAAGCTGTTCATCTGAGCAGACCTATCCTAAGCCACCGAAGGAGAGAGAGACAGGTGGGCGTGGATAGAGTGGAGGTCGAGGTCGTGGTCGTGGGGGTCAAAAAGGTGGAAAATGGGGCAAACGAGCAAATCTGGTGATAGCAGAGGACGAGGGAGAGGCGGGTGTGATCTTTACTAGTGAGAATCATGAGTTTCTGGAGCTGTTGAAGAGGAAACAGAGAGCAGCAGGAGATGAAGCTGAGGATGCTTCAAATCCATCGACATCAAGGGGTAACATTGCCACTTATGCTCACTTCAGCAAAGGTACTGGTGACACTTGCTCTTGCCTCTATTTCCACCGCAGGTTCATCAGAATGGATCATAGATTCTGGTTCTTTTCATCACGTGGCAGGTACTGCTAGAGAGTTCTCTTCATATACTCATCTAGCAGTACCAAAGAGTTATACAGTCTGTTAATGATACAACACAACCTATAGTTGGTAAGGGTACAGTGAGATGTTCAATCATATGATTTTGTCCAATGTTTTGCATGCTCTCTTATCCATTAGTGTCATTATTCACCAGCTAAAATGCATTGCTTCTTTTGATATCCCTCAGGTGATCTTCCAAGAGAAAGGAATGTGTCGGACACTTGGCACTGGAACGTGGCATAGCAGACTTTGGTACTTGGACCGAGAGGGGATGGACTCAACTCTAGAGTCCATGGTAGAAAGTACCGCAATATGAGAATTTGGGAGGAACGTCGAGGGTGTGTTACTACTACATCGCAAACATATGTGGCATCCTAGCCTTAGTTTATTGAGTTGGTTGTATCCATATATGTATGAAAAAGGCAAAGAAGGAGAAACTTGTGTGTGATGCTTGTGAGTTTGGCAAGCTTATCAGGAGCTCTTACGTCAGTTCTGGGAAGAGGAGCTCTGGTGTATTTGATTTGATACATTGTGATGTATAGGGGCCTTGTCCTACTAGTTCATGAATTTTTATCATTATTTTGCTATGTTTATTAATTGTTTTTCTATTATTATCTGTATATACTTGATGAAACTAACGAGTGAGGTAGTTACTTGCTTAAACTTCATCACAAAGCAATTCATATCCAATATGGGGCAATTGTGAAGACATTGAGATCCGATAATGAGACAGAATATATCAACAAAGCATTTGAGGACTACTTGTCAGCCTAAGAAATACAACACCAAACCACATGCTCATACACACTAACACAGAATGGAGTAGCTGAGAGGAAGAATCAACATCTTCTAGAGGTAGCCCGAAGCATGGATGACAATGAATGTCCCACATCACTTATGGGGGGCAAGTAGTGTTGACAGTTGCTCAAGTGATTAACAGGATGCTCCCAAAAATATTGGAGTGAAAGTCTCCTTGTCAGATGTTGAAAGGAGAAAATGGTGAGATCCTTCTTGCTCGAAACATGACGATGACAATGAATGTCCCACATCACTTATGAGGGGCAAACAATGTTGACAGCTGCTCAATTGATTAACAGGATGCCCTAAAAAATATTGAAGTGAAAGTCTCCTTGTCAGATGTTGAAAGGAGACAATGGTGAGATCATTCCGTTGAAGGTATTTGGATGTGTATGTTTTGTGAAAGAAAACAAACCATCTGTAAGAAACTTGGATCCCAGAACTGTGAAATGTGTATTTGTGGGTTATTTTGCTACTCATAAGGGTTATGTCTGTTCGAGTCTGATTGAAAAGAAACTTTTTGTGAGTATAGATGTGTCATTCAAAGAGTTTGAATCATACTGCACTCTAGAGGTGAAGTCTACAAGGCAAGAGAAAGTGCGTAGTAGTGGTTATGTAGTAGTGCAAGTGGGAGCAATGCCATGCCCTGTGATGTGGGATGAATCATCTAAAGAGACGGAAATCGAGAAGACTACTAAGGTGGAAGGATTCATGTTGAAGGTGAGCTAAGAGTGTTACACAGAGGAAAAATCAAACTAAGGGAACAGATTTTGCAATGCCAACAAGTTCCTTGTCTCAGTCTTCCCCAACTTTTGAGACACCTACACCATCCACCTTTGATTCAAAAGTCCTGGGTGATATTATTTCTCATCCGTCCCCCTCTCCAACATTGAAAAGAACCTCTCGTAGCAATGCAGGACATCCTCCTAATCGTTTTGGGTGGGAACTTGACCTTGTGAACTTTATTTCTTATTTTAACATCTTACCTTTTCATGTAGCATTCATTGCATCATTGGATTGTCTCTGTACTCAAGTGTTAGCAGGTTGTTAAAGAGGATCTCAAGTGGAAAGCGGCGATGCATGAAGAGCTTAAAGCTCTTCATAAAAATCAATTATGGGAGATTGTACCACTACCAGCAAGGAAGAAGACAGCTGGATGCAAGTGGATCTTCACAGTAAAACAACCTTCAGAAGGGAAGGTAGAGAGGTACAAGGCACGACTAGTGACAAAAGAGTACAATCAGACGTATGACATTGACTATAATGAAACTTTTGCACCAGTAGCAAAGATGAGTACTGTAATGACACTGGATTTTCTAGCTGTGAATAGTGGATGAAGACTCCACCAACTGGATGTGAAGAATACTTTTTTTCATTGGGAGCTACTGGAGGAGGTATATGTGAAGATACCACCAAGATTCAATACATCCCAGATAATGGGTAAGGTGTG